GTCTTGGTCTCGGAGCGCTGTGGTGTCTGGTATGTCTTGGTCTTGGTTAGTGTGGTCTGGACTACAACACTACGGGGCCCCTCACATTGGGAAGCGGTGTCCTGTCTCAATTTCACAAACATGTTGGAACCAAAGTGTTGCCAATGTATTTGTGTGGTCGAGTCAGAACACTCTTTCACTCTTTCCCTCGGGGAGGATTTAGTTAAAAGTTTTAATACCTGAAGTTTATTAACGCTTCATTGATCATCAAGGACCCCCGTGATAGTCTGAGAGGATGATCCTGCAGTCTGAGCCAGGCTGATAACATGTGGAAAGAACAGCTGACTGATCAGTTATGTGTTGTTGTGTTTCAGGTGCCATCCTCAGCAGACTCTACAAGATCCCAGGTAAGCCTGAACACACTCCCCCTCACCTGCTTACCGTCAGATTACAGCATCTTCATACTGAGCTGATCGAGATGTTGAGATATGCTCAGGTCACTGAAAATGACTTCATAGATCACAGAGGTTGCAACAATGCAGCAGCCAGTATGTCCTCCTTCTAACTTTAGATTCTGCTCCTGAATGCTCTGGATTTGTTTGGACCAGAGAAGGTAGGCGGTAGGCGGTTTTAAGACACGCCCATTTTGGACGCCCCTCAGTTTATCAGATACGAGAGCAGTTATCAGGTCAACAGGTGTTGCAGAGATGGAAGCGGGCAAGAGAAGTGGTTCAGATAGAAGTGATTGTACCCGACAGTTAAAAGTCAAACATCAGAGAAAAGTTTCAACATGTTGAATCAACTGGTTTTGTGTGTGTGTGTGTGTGTGTGTGTGTGTGTGTGTGTGTGTGTCTTCAGAGCTGGAGGGGAAGGACGTCGAGGAGGTGTTCACTGCTGTTCTCAGTCCAAACCGCAGCAACAGCCAATCAGAGCAGAGCCAACACACACACACTGGGAGCAAGACTAACACACACCACCCAGGTACACACACATGCACACCTCCTAGGTACACACACCACCCAGACGCTGCTGAAACAGGTGCATTGTGGGAGTTTTTTCTGACTGAAATGATGAATTTATTTTTGACTCTTTTCCTCCAGCTGCTTCGTTTCCTCGTCTTCCTCTGATGAACGGCCTGATGGGAGCCGCCCCTCACTTCACCAACACTCCCATGATGCACAGCGGGGCTCAGGGTCCAGCAGGTTTCAGGTTGCCCCCTCCGGAGAGCCATGCCCCTGCTCAGCACTCAGGCCCCGCCCCCCGGCCGGCTTTGACCAATCAGGCATCAGCAGGCGAGGGGGAGCAGGATGTGATGTCGACGGCTCAGAGAGGAACGCTGAAGTGGGAGAAAGAAGAAAGTCTGGGAGAGATGGCGACTGTAGCACCGGTCCTCTACTGCAATACCAACTTCCCCCACCTGAAGGAGCAGTATCCTGGTATACACACACACACACACATACACACACACACACACACACACACACACACACACACACACACACACACACACACACACACACACACAGACACACACACACACACACACAGAGACACACACACACACAGAGACACACACACACACAGAGACACACACACACACACACACAGAGACACACACACACACACACAGAGACACACACACACACACACACACACAGAGACACACACACACACACACACACACACACACACACAGAGACACACACACACACACACAGAGACACACACACACAGACACACACACAGACACACACACACACACACACACACACACAAGTGCGAAAACAGCTTTAGTTAGATCTATGAACTGTGTGTGTGTGTGTGTGTGTGTGTGTGTGTGTGTGTCAGACTGGTCCAGCAGAGTGAAGCAGATCACTAAGATGTGGAGGAAAGCCAGCTCTCAGGACAGAGCGCCATTCGTGGTGAGTTTATTTTTTTTGTGGTGTTTTGAGTTTTTCTGCCTCTGACGTGCTCGTCCATGGAAGCTCACTGAGTCAGAGGCTTGATGTTTCCTCTCTGCTGGATCAGAATAACTCCTGGAGTGCTTCTCTCTGAGTTCTGATTCACATGAAGCCTCTCTGAGTATCTAAAGTGAAACCAGAGTCCGTCATCATAAAGGGACAAACAGCAGAGATGTCTCTGCTGGAAACTCCCCGACAGAGTGAACTCAATGTAAAGGCAGACGTGTGTTTTACAAACAGGTCTAATGCAGCAGGAAGATGCTGCTGCAGCTTATGCACAAAATGGGCAGATTAGCACACCATTTCAAAACAAATAAATGCCTAATCTCATCACTATTGACACGTAAACTGTCTGTTTTTTTTCTCATAGTCCACTGCACAGCTCCTACATCACACCTTTTTGTACATTTTGTGTTTTTTATTTTTATTTCTTACATTTTTAAATTGTATTTTATATATTGTAATATCTTCTTATTCTGTATTATTTAAGTTGTTGTTAGTTCTGTTTTATTTCCTTGTTCATTGTTTAGCACCAATACACCAAGTCAGATTCATTGTCTGTGTAAATGTACTTGGCAATAAACCCAGATTCAGATTCTGAAGGTCAGAGATGACGGCTGTATCAACCTCCTGACTGGCTGTCAAATAACATCTGGTCACATGATGAAGTATGTACCTGTTAACCCGGTGTTTCTCTCTCTGGCAGCAAAAAGCTCGAGATAACCGGGCTGCTCAGCGAATCAACAAGGTGCAGCTTTCCAACGACCCGCTCAAACGCCAGCAGAACCTGCAGCAGCAGAACCTGAACCTGCAGCAGCAGAACCTGCAGCAGCAGAACCTGCAGCAGCAGAACCTGAACCTGCAGCAGCAGAACCTGCAGCAGCAGCCACTACCTCCACCGTCTCTGCCTCTTCCTCTCCCGGGACCTTATGACCCTGTTACCATGGAGATGGACGGGACATTCAAGGACCCGCTCAGGCCCAGAGAGTCTGAACAGGAGCAGGAGTGGAAGCTGAGACAGGTAGGCAGAGTTCAGTTTGTTTATGTCTTTTAACTCATCACCTCAATCATGACGTAGAGCCGGAGAGAGAAACCAACACCCAACTCATTCAGGATCTCACTCATCAGATCAGAATCAAATCCAGTAAATCCATCTGTCAGATCACTCACATGAAGCGTTCTGAAGGTCTGCACCGGGTTTTGAACATCCTCTTGTTTCTGCTCCGACCCAACATGTAGTGTGTGTGTTGTGTCTGTAGGGGGCAGTGTGTAAAAAGTCGTCTTCCTGTTGTGACACACGTCACGCTGCCGTCCAATCACAGCAGTCGGCAGGATGGGTGTTGGTTTCTTTGCTCTGAGCGGTAACCATAGTAACCAGCAGGCTGCATGTCAGGGGGGAGACAGGAAGTCAGATGGAGGGGAGGGTTGGGGGTCAGATGTTGTCATGATGAAGTTGATGTGTCCCCCCCCCCTCCCCTCACACTAACGTTGTCATTAATTGTCATTAAAAAGGGGGAGGTTAATGAGAGATGGGGAGCCGGTAAGAAGAGGCAGCAAAGTCTCCCCCCCCTAAAATCACCATCTGATAAAGATTGTCCCTACCAGGCACCTGTAGCAGGAGGGGGCACAGAGGCTCTGGTAAGATCTCAAAGAGAACCTGTTCCAGGCAGACTTCCTGGATACTCCACCTTCTGAAATCCTCTAAGAACAAAAGAGGACTTCAGATGGATGACCTGGGTCGGTCCTGCTCACCTTCTCTGGGCCAGACGAGCAGTTTTGCACGAGGTTACCATGGAAACGAATAGAGTTAATGAAAGTTAAATGACTGAAGACTTCATATGTGAAGAGGAGTTGACCCAGAGTCGGTGTTCAGGACCAGAGTCTGTCTGAGAACTGTCTGATTTTTCTTGTTCAGGGATGCTGCCTCACTCTGATTGTGTCTCTGCTGTTGTCTCCAAACCGGTGTGTTGTGTGTGTGCTGGAGGACGACAGCAGCGTCACACTCACTGTGAGGTTCAGGTGTGAAGGATCAGGTGAGAGAGAGAGACAGACAGACAGGAGAGAACGGACAGCAGGTGAATCAGGTTCAACAAACAGTTCTACATACAGACGATAACATTTTCATAAAAAAACACTGTAGTACACATGCCAGGCCAGTAGGTGACGCTGTGACTTTGTAATGAAACAACACAATCATCAACACATCCTCGCCCTTCATCAGAGCGGTAAGGTGTAAACATACAAACATGATGAACATACCAACGTTTGTGTGGACGGACGATGAGGTGGAGACAGAGCTCAGGGGTCCACCATTGTTGTTGTAGTCCATCTACTCACTCATGGCCCTGGACTGTAAGCGCACTGAGCATGTGTGAAACGTCATATTTTCTAGCACCCAAAACACTGTTGTCTTGTAAACCGGCTCCTCGGCCTGTGACGTCATCCATCACTGATCCTCCACATTGAGAGAGAGAGAGAGAGAGAGAGAGAGAGAGAGAGAACTTAGCTGTCATACCATCATGTTTGAGCTCCACCTGCAGAGCGCGATCAGCTGTTTGACGTGTGTGTGTGTGTGTGTGTGTGTGTGTGTGTGTGTGTGTGTGTGTGTGTGTGTGTGTGTGTGTGTGTGTGTGTGTGTGTGTGTGTGTGTGTGTGTGTGTGTGTGTGTGTGTGTGTGTGTGTGTGTGTGTGTGTGTGTGTGTGTGTGTGTGTGTGGTGTGTGTGTGTGTGTGTGTGTGTGTGTGTGTGTGTGTGTGTGTGTGTGTGTCAGCAAATGCGTCAGAAGAGTAAGCAGCAGGCTAAGATCGAGGCGACTCAGAAGTTGGAGCAGGTGAAGAACGAGCAGCTCCTGCAGCAGAGGCAGCAGCAGCTCTCCACGGGTCATCTCTCCCCGGACGCAGGAAGCCGCAGCCCCATGACGCCGGGCCAGCAGCCCGTCGCCGGGGGCAACGCCTCGCCCCTCCATCTCCACGCCTCCAGAGAGGGGCCGTCCAGACAGCACCTCTTCCAGAGTTCAGGACTGACCGATGATGTCTTCCTCAGACCTCAGGCTCCTCCCCCCTCTGGCTTCTCCTCGCTCCCTCACTCCCCTCACTCCTCTTCCCCTCTACACCAGCCCCCCTCCTCCCCCCAGATGTTCTCCCCTCCCTCCTCCCGCCCCTCCTCTCCATGGGACCCCTACAGTAAGGTGGTAGGGACTCCTCGTCCTGCCTCCTCCCAGGCGGGTGTCCCCCCGGCCCCCCAGCTGCAACGCCACAACTCCCTCAGCTCGCCAGCCCACGATGCCTTTGGATCTCCTGTACCCTCCCCCGACTCCAAAACTCCTGACATCACCAGGACTCACGTACCTCTACCAGGTAGGTTCTCCTCTGATCCATAGTTACTCCTCCAGGTTTCCATCTCCTTCTTGTTTCCTCCTCCTTTAAATCATCTCCTCTTCTTGTTTCCTCCTCTTGTTTCCTCCTCTCTTGTAACCGTCTCCTCTTATTGTTTCCTCCTCTCTTGTCTCCTCTCCTTGTTGCCTCCTCCTTTAAATCGTCTCCTCTCCTTGTTTCCTCCTCTTGTAACTGTTTCCTCTCCTTGTTTACTCCTCCTTTAAATCGTCTCCTCTTCTTGTTTCCTCCTCTCTTGTCTCCTCTCCTTGTTTCCTCCTCCTTTAAATCGTCTCCTCTTCTTGTTTCCTCCTCTCTTGTCTCCTCTCCTTGTTTCCTCCTCCTTTAAATCGTCTCCTCTTCTTGTTTCCTCCTCTCTTGTCTCCTCTCCTTGTTTCCTCCTCTCAGTGCTGCAGCAGAGCAGAGCAGGTATGCTGACTCCTCCCTCGACCTCTGACCTTTCTGCCCGCCTTGTGGCCTTACGAACAGCAGAGACGTACCAGCGACCTCCTCACTCGGGCGCCGGCCTGCGAGCTGCAGTGCCGGATTTTTACAGTCGGGCGGGTGAGCTGGTCCAGCAGGGCGCGTTGTTTAAAGCCCCCATGCCCCCCCAGCACCAGTCAGAGGGTTTTGGTCCTTCAGGAGGAAGGAGGGACCCGTCCAGACCCACAGACCTGAGCTTTGCTCTAACCCACTCCCAAGACCCCTCTTACCCCCCCAGTCCGCTGTCAGGACTTGGCTCCCCCCACCGCAGCCCCTACACACAGACTCCTGGTACCCCTAGACCTGACTATGCCCAGCAGACCCCTGACCCCTTTACCCAGCAGTCCCCTCTGAGCTCCCGTCCCTCGCCTGACCCGTACGCCAACCCTCAGACTCCTGGTACGCCACGGCCACACTCTGACCCCGCCTACCTCGCCACACCGCCTTCACTCAGACTAGACCAGTACAACCAGCAGTCTTCCAACCGCCGGCCGTCCCCCTCCCACCCAAACCTCGACCCCTATTCCTCAAATCCAGGGACGCCGCGCCCTCCTGCCAATGAGCGCTTCCCTCGGTCACCTGGGAATCAGCGGAGCTCTGACCCCTACGCCCAGCCCCCCGGTACACCACGCCCCTCACCCGACCCCTACGCCCAGCAACCCTCTACCCCGCGGCCCCAGAAGCCTCCTGAGCCCTTCAGCCAGGCCTCGGCAGAGACCTTCACTCCTTCAGGGTCGTCCCAGCTCGCTGCAGGACTGACAGGAGATACGATGACCTTCAACACATTACATCACCAGGTAACATTTTGCATGACTTCACCAGTAAGACCAGTACATCCTGTCTGTGTTTGAGGGTGTTTGAGGGTCTCTCAGGGGGGAAAGGTTTAAAGTGTTGGTCAGTTAGTGTGCAGCTCTTTTAGTACCATCAGCGTCCACCAGGGGGAGTTTGTAATCTGCTGGCTCTGTGCCCCCCTCCTCTGATCACCTGTTGTCTTTGACTGAGGAGTCTTTACAACCAAAGCAGCGCTCCACAAGCTTTACTTACTGACACCGCTGTCTGATTCAACCCTCAGACATCAGTTTAATTTACTCCCCTCTGAAATCACTAAGGACAAAAATCACTTCCAAAAAACTGATCTAAAAATAGAACAGATTGATATTTCTTTCTACTTTTTTCTGCATAAATCTTTTAAACAACTTCAGCCCTGCTCAAAACTACCAAACATTCAATCATTTGTAGGAATTTAACCCTTTAAATGCCAGTTTGATTGCATGATTCTGGCATTTAAAGGGTTAAATTCCTGATAATTATTCAATGTTTGGTTGTTTTGAGCAGGGCTGAAGTTGTTTAAGAGATTTATGCAGAAAAAAGTAGAAAGAAATATCAATCTGTTCTATTTTTAGATCAGTTTTTTGGAAGTGGACATGTTTGTCCTGAGTGACTTCAGAGGGGAGTAAACATGTTTCAGTGTTCTATTGATCTATTAAAAAAAATAAAATGTGCATTCCAAAATGTGTCAAAATATGTGCCATATGCTCTAACAGACAAAATGATGGACAGATGAAGAGGAAACATTTGACCAAATGGACAAAAATGTCCATAATGAGTCATGAGGGTTAACTGCACCATGATGACCTCAGGACAGAGGAAAGAACTGTGTTGCTGCAGGCTGGTCTGCATCACTTTATCCCAGCATGCTTCGTGCTGACAAGCGGTTGCTTCCAATACGCAGTGAACAGGGACGAGTTTTCAATCACATCAGGTGGCGTGCCGTGGGTGTTGGGGTCGGTTGCACATGTCTCAGCATCATACGGGTTTATAGGACGCAGCTTTAGATGAAGACAAAGTATTTCATGTACAAAGTTCACTGTTATTGTTTCATACTGGAACGTTGTTAATTTTTGTGAATTTAACTTCAGCTGCAGTCGAAGGAGACGGTTTGATATCATTATTTGTTTTTTATCAGTTGCAGCAATCTCCAGGACGACAGCATCAACATCAACAACAACATCAACAACAACAACAGGACTCTTTTCCCAGAACACCCGGCGGCCAAACCCAAAAGCCATCTGTGATGTCAGAGGACTTCTCAGGATTGGCTGGTCAGACTCCAGGTCACAACCCCTTTGAGCAGGGTCATATGACACCAGACAAGACATCAGCCAATGAAATGCCAGGTCTGGCTGCAGATGGACCAATGAGCATGCTGCCTCAGCTCGGAGATTCAGAGGAGAAACTGAGACAGGTAGGACATGTGTGACTCAGGCAATGACCTCTACTGACCTCTGCTGACCTCTGCTGACCTCTGCTGACCTCTGCTGACCTCTACTGACCTCTGCTGACCTCTGCTGACTTCTACTGACCTCTACTGACCTCTGCTGACTTCTACTGACCTCTGCTGACCTCTACTGACCTCTGCTGACTTCTACTGACCTCTACTGACCTCTGCTGACCTCTACTGACCTCTACTGACCTCTGCTGACCTCTGCTGACTCTACTGTTCTCTGCTGACCTCTGCTGACTCTACTGACCTCTGCTGACCTCTACTGACCTCTGCTGACCTCTACTGACCTCTGCTGACCTCTGCTGACTTCTACTGACCTCTGCTGACCTCTACTGACCTCTGCTGACCTCTACTGACTTCTACTGTTCTCTGTGTGTTTGTGGCAGCGTCAGCGGCTGCGGCAGCTCATCCTCAGACAGCAGCAGCAGAAGAGTGCACTACGACAGGAGAAAGGACTTCAGGAGGCCTCTGGTGCGTCTGCGCCTCCTGCTGCTCCTCCTGGCTCAGCCCCTGCTAATGTAACTCAACACCTCTGGTCCCAGGAGGAGTCCTCTGCTCCTCCAACAGACCTGTTTGGACGCCCTCCACCCCCGTACCCTGGCACAGTGAGGCCTGCTGGGGCAGGGGGGGCTCTGGGCCCCAGGTTCCCTGGAGGTTTCTCTGGGGAGCAGCAGAGGAGCTTCACCCCCACAGAGCCTCCTTTCCCCAGGCAGAGCCTCCCCAGACAGCAGGGAGTCAGAGGACCTGCCCTGAGGTGAGAGGTCCTGACCTGCTCTGGTCATGTGTCTCTCCTCTCCTCTTCCTATTCCTCCTTTACTTCTTTCCTTTCCTGCTCTCCTCCTTTCTCACCCTTCTCTCTTCACTCTGTTCCTTCTCCTTTCTCTTTCCTGTACTCACCTGTCTCCCCTCTTTTCTCAGGTTCGGCATTCTTCCAGGAGCTCAAGCGGCTCTCCAGGACTCATTCTTACGTCCTACCCAAGGAGCAGTGCCTAGATCTGGTCTGGGTGTGGTGGAAGGAGTCCCAGTCCAGATGAGGAGGCCGATGTCTGGGGACTTCACGGGTATCCGACCCCTCACTGTTCCCAGTGCTCCCACTCACATGATGCAAGGTGAGACAGAAACCAGCAGAGAAACCTGTTTGACATTTATATACCACAACAGTAGGACTTTCAGATGAGGGACTAAGTCTTACATTCTCCCCCCCCCCCCCCCCAGGTGTACCCCAGGCCTTCCTCCCCCGCTCCCTGCCCCTCCAGCAGCACAGCATCATGGGACAGCCCTACATCGAGCTACGACATCGCGTCCCTGAAAACCGTCTGAGGTTGCCCTTTTCGGACCTTGAAGGCACCCTCCTACACCCCAGAGACCCCCACGCCTCTGCAGTCAGACCCGCTCAGGAGGGCAGGATGGGGGAGGGGCCGCTGGGCCAGCAGTCGGGAATGGAGCAGCACTTGAGCCACACGGCGACGTTGACACAGAGCGGCGAGACGGTAGGAGCCGAGGGGATAGAGGAGCACCTGGAGGGGGAGGACTCGGCTGTGAAGGACCTGGAGGACGTGGAGGTGAAAGACCTGGTGGACCTGAACCTGAACCTGGACCCTGAAGACGGTACAGAATCACATCTCTCACTTTCTGATGGTTCTGTTAGTCGTTATATCTTCTGTCTCACATGTTCTTCTTTTGGTGCCTCTTTTCTTAAAGTGACATCAGCTTGAATCATTGTAGAAGAAGAAGAGAGGAGCTAAAGGGTGCACAAAGAGTGTTTATATTTAACCTGTTTGGTGTTTTCAGGTAAAGAGGATCTGGATCTAGGTCCTAACGACCTCCACCTGGACGACTTCCTGCTGTCAGGCAAGTTCGATCTGATCGCCTACGCCGACCCCGAGCTCAATCTGGAAGACAAGAAGGACATGTTCAACGAGGAGTTGGACCTGGGTGAGTCGGTGGAGGAGAGGGAGGGCGCCAGGAAGACAGACAGCCACGCCCACCTGATGAGTCAGGTCAAACAGGAAGTCAAAGACGGCGTCAAGACAGAAGGCAGAGATGGCAGACCCACACCTCCTCCAGGAGCTCCAGGGGGCGTCGGCCAGCTCGGCTCCTCCCCCCTCGTCATCAAGGTGAGTGAACAGGTGATCAGTGACACCCGTCAGAGTGAACAGGTGATCAGAGTGAACAGGTGATCGGTAACTCTTCTCTCATGTGTCCTCCAGGAGAAGGGGGAACACTGTGGAACTGCTGCCCAGGATCAGGCTCTTCTGTCGGGGACGGCTCCCCGGGGTCAGCCCCCGATGGCTGGAGGTAAACGAACCCGACTCGTCTCTCCTTTTTCTTCTCATCTTCCCTCCCCCTCACCTCCTATTCTCTACTCCTCCTCCTCATTTGTCTCCCTTTGTCCTCCTACTCCTCTTTCTCTGCCCCCCCCTTTTTCTTTCCACCTCCTCTGACATCCTCCTCCTCCTCTGTCTCCCCCCTTTGTACTCCTTCCTCCTTCTTTCTTCTACTTGAAATAATGATAAGACTATGATAAGTAAAGGACGACAGATGAGCAATAATTGAAGTTTAAAATGAATTCAGATGATGATGATTCAGATGTAAACTTGTAAAACTTACTAAAGGCCGCCCCCCCTCTTTCCCCCCCTCTCCTCAGGTCAGCAGTCCGTCCTCCCTCAGAGACCATTTGGACCCTCGGCTCTCTTCACCACGCCTCCTCAAGGCCCCCCTGCCAGTCCTCATCCGCTGTCCCTCCAGCCCTCCCAGCCTCACCTCCTGAACCCCCAGACCCAGCCCCCAGACCCAGGAGACCCCTCCTCACAGGTCCAGAGCCAGCCATCTTCCTTCAGAACCAGAACCAGAGCCAGGACCAGGACCAGGACCGTCCTCTACTCCTGGAGGAACAGCCGCTCCTCCTGCAGGACCTCCTGGACCAGGAGCGTCAGGAGCAGCAGCAGCAGAAACAGATGCAGGCTCTGATCAGACAGAGGCCTAACCCGGACTCTGTGCTGCCCACCATGGGTAAGACCAGAACCACAAGAGACTGACGACTGGAGGAGACTCTTTCAAAGTTCTTACTGTGTGTGTGTGTGTGTGTGTGTGTGTGTGTGTGTGTGTGTGTGTGTGTGTGTGTGTGTGTGTGTGTGTGTGTGTGTGTGTGTGTGTGTGTGTGTGTGTGTGTGTGTGTGTGTGTGTGTGTGTGTGTGTGTGTGTGTGTGTGTGTGTGTGTGTGTGTGTGTGTGTGTGTGTCACAGATTTCGACTCCATCTCTGACCCCATCATGAAGGCTAAGATGGTCGCTCTGAAGGGAATCAACAAGGTGATGAGCCAGAGCAGCCTGGGACTGAACCCCATAGTTATCAACAGGTACGCCCCCCCCCCCCCCGTCTGTCTCATCAGTTATATCCCCGTTTGTGTCGTCCCCTCACCACCTCTATCTGTGTGTGTTTGTCAGGTTCCAGCAGACTCCGGGGGCCCCTCCAGCTCCTGTGGCCCCGGGTCCAGAGGGCACTCCTCAGACTCCACAGCTGGTGGGACAGGTGTGTACATCCACA